CTTTCCCTTTGAGGGATGAGTTTACATATCAAAGAATCTGTGACAGAAGGTGGTTTCACTTATTTATTGAAATATACACGGGGCGCCTGGGTGGCGCAGTCGGTTAAGTGTCCGACTTCAGCCAGGTCACGATCTCGCGGTCTGAGAGTTCGAGCCCCGCGTCAGGCTCTGGGCTGATGGCTCGGAGCCGGGAGCCTGTTTCCGATTCTGTGTCTCCCTCTCTCTCTGCCCCTCCCCCGTTCATGCTCTGTCTCTCTGTGTCCCAAAAATAAATAAAAAATGTTGAAAAAAATAAATATACATATTGTATCCTTGAATGCCTTCTTTAGCCATGCAGACCTTCTCAAACATTAAAGGACCATTGGTTGATCCAAATTATTAACTCCTTGCCAGTAACATTGAGCACCTGCCGTGTGCCAGGGTTTGAATTTCTTAGATTGATGTTCCCTCTATGTTGAGTGAATGAGTGGGTTAAAGTTTTCCTTCCTCCATTCTGATGCATGCCTGTTCCTCTTTAACGTCCTCTCCAATTCCTGTCTAGATTGTCTCAACACAGCCTGGACCATGATCATTGCATTAATTAAAATTTAGTTTCTGTAGAATAGGGAAACCCTAAATAGTAATGATTTGAAATAGAAGTCTAGTTTTCTTCACATGAAAGAACTCTGCAGGCAGGCAATGAGGTAGTGTAATGGAGGCTTTGTGGAGTCATGGGGGACCCAGCCTCCTTCAGGCTGTTGCTCGCTCTTTTGATGATCGCAGGTGGCTGCAGAAATTCTATTCAGCAGTTCCTCAATCCTTGATGCAGAGGGCAGGATGGAAGAAGAAAAGAAGCAGAGGATAGAGCCGCCACTTTTTTTTTTTTTTAAGTGTATTTATTTTGAGAGAGACAGAGGGTGAATGGGGGAGGGGTGGAGAGGGGGACAGAGGGTCTGAAGCAGGCTCCAGGGGCTCACAGCCTGATGCAGGGAGCTGCGAGATCCTGACCTGAGCCCCAGTCAGAAGCTTAACTGACTGAGCCACCCAGGCGCCCCGAGCCGCCTCCATTTTGAGGAGGTTCCTACAGGTAACTTACAAAGGTCTGATTACATCTCCTTGGCCAGACTTCACCTGTAGACTACATTTTGCTACAAAGGATGCTGGGATACACAGGTTTCCACCTGAACAGTAATGTGTCCAGTAAAACAAAAAACAGCCAAAGAAAGCAAAACCCAAAAATGAAGCAAAATGAAAACACCCTTCAGGATTCTGTTGTTAAACAAGAGAAAGAGCCTCCTGAGGCGGTTACTTGTCTCGGTCACAGTCATTCACGGTCATGCTGCCCACGGGAGCGTCCTAGATCCCTTTCCCTCCTGACCAGTGATTTTGCCAATTCTCAAACCACATGTCATTAGCGTTTATCATCTTGTTTATTTATGCCTGTTCCTGCTCCTCCCAGCAGAATTAGTGGGGGCAAAGTGCTGAAGTTACAGATGGGTCTGATATCCTCTATTTGCTGGTTAGCCCCAAATGAAATTGTAGTCTTTTTAAAAAAATTTTTTTTATTTTTTTCAATATATGAAATTTATTGTCAAATTGGTTTCCATACAACACCCAGTGCTCATCCCAAAATGTGCCCTCCTCAATACCCATCACCCACCCTCCCCTCCCTCCCAGCCCCATCAACCCTCAGTTTGTTGTCAGTTTTTAAGAGTCTCTTATGCTTTGGCTCTCTTCCACTCTAAC